CATACCTGCTATTAAGTGCAGAAAACAGAGATTCAAATGTGTCTTGACAAGATTCCAACAATTTTGCTTCTCCTTTAAGAGATGCTTTGAGATAAAACAGTTTTTGAGTATCATTCAATTCTTTATTGTTACCGATAATTGACATAAATTGCATTTTAAAGTTTATGAAATCTTCATATTTACCATAAAATTATGGTAAGGGTAAATCTGGCAATTTATAACTACAATTAGAAACAATCTTTGCTTCTTTAATTTTATCTTGATCATTAATTTTGCATTCAGAAAGAGTAATTCGAAATCTTACTTCTAAATCCTCTATTTCCTCGTCTAGCTCTTCAGTTAAACTAAGATTATCCTTCAAATCGATATCTTCTGGATGTTGAGTGTAATCAATTATCAATTGCTTTGCAATGTTTTTTAGTTACAGTAACGAATTTAGTTTTGTGTTTAGCATAACTTCACGATTCAGCTCCTCTTCATCGACTTTCAATTCATCAAGAAATGTTAACAACTTTCCTAATTTTGTTTTGATTACGCCTCTTTGGCGGTTCAACGATATCAAAGAAGCCATATTCTCTCCGGTTGCTTAGGACCAACTGTACAGTCCCGTGATAGCTCAATAATTAAATTTTGATGTAATGGACTGTATAATAACTAATAAATATTTATTTAACATAAGTAAATTAGTTGATTAGTTCACGCATGAACTTACATTACGGAGCGACCATACGCTCTCAAAGTGTCAAGAAACAAGAAGGAATAGTTTTTAGGTTACATTAAAGATGGCTGGCGACATATAATCGCGCCAACCGGTAATTCAACACCAAACACATACTAGCAGAAAGTTAGTTAACACAGGTTATAATAACTATACATTTTCTTTACAAAATTATCAGCTTTTAAGAAAAACAAAATAAATTATAAGTGGTAAGCGGTGTAAGTAGGGTACAAAAATTCCTAGTTTCCATTAAAAAAAATTATAAATTAACAAAAATCAGCAGTACTTTGTTGTCATTAATAATTATTTTGAAGTAATCAAATTATCTTGTAAATATTGTATGCATGCAAGACTGAAACTAAGAAATGAAATAAAATAAAAAACTGGTTGACCAGTCATTTCATTTATAGATGATTTTCAAAGGAAGCAATTATATTCTTAACTATTAATTATTCAATACTATTTACATTTTCTCGGGTAATTAGCAGTCTTATACGAATAATATGTTAGAGAGAATATATAAATTTATAAAATTACAGAGAATATATTATAGAGAATATGTTGTAACCGTTAAAAAATCTTGATAGTCAGGATATTTTCAGGATTCTTCCCAAAAACAAGTTGGTATGGAAAATCTTTCTTAGCAGTTTCATTTCCATCTTGATAAGCGAGAATATGCAACATTTTGCAGGAATACTTTAAATACATCAAAATGTCTCTAATCTTTGCCTGGTTATATGCTTTTTAATTATACTAGATTTTTCTTGTTTTTGTTTCAGAATGATCTTGAAATATATCTTACCCTTCACTAGAAAAGGTGTTCAAAATCGAGAAATGTCAAAGGTAAGGATTCCTTAATTCATAACATCAACTTTGCAATATACTATACTATCTTGAAGAAAAATGTGAACTCTATACAAAACTAAATTTAGTTTTGAAATCTTCACACCCGACTTAGGTAAGATCCGGTACTTGTAATAATACAACCAAAAATAACCTCCTACATAGTCGAGCCATTTTTCACAATTTGAAATTTTTCATTAGCCGCAATTAAATACGTATTTAAAAGGTATGCAAATAAGGTATTTAAAAAAATTACGTTAATTATATTTATTGAAAACATATAAGTGAAAGTACAAAGTATGTGTATTGAATTTAAAATTAAACATATTTATTTTACTTCTCATGACAATTCTTTAAAATTTAGTGAATAATTGGTGACAGCACTTCTCAGTAATTCTTTGAGATGCTGGTTAGTTGATACTGATCGGTGTTTGGATTTCACGAATTTTAAAGTGGAATAAAATGATTCACATAAGTACGTAGTTCCGAATATTGAAGTAATTTGACAGGCAGCCCTTTTTAATTCAGGATACTTCGATTCTGGTACAAATTTTCCAAAATTCAGTAATCAATGTCGATTTATATTTTAATTGGAGAGCTTCATCTTCTTGTATCTCTATTAAGTCCAATACTCCAGATGCATTTTGTGTCATTATTATATTGGAAATGGAAAACTCACCTTGAATTGAACAACGTTGCACTTAGTCTTTCATACTTTTTCTCAGTAATTTAAAAGAAATTTTGAAACACATACGGAACGATAATAATTTTTTTTAAATATAATGGCATAAAAATGAAAAGGGAACTCGGGTACATTTATCGAGAGCCACAAATAATCCTTCAAAGAGCCGCATATGGCTCGCGAGCCGCAGGTTGGCCACCCCTGGTATATAAGGTATACAGTTATGCTTCAAACATTGGTAAAATTAAAGCCCTGGATATGCAGCTTTAGAAGCGACAAGCCATCATTTTGGTGATTGCAACTCTCTTGAAATACGGAGTTTCAACTCTTAAACACCAGTTTTTACTGATTAATATTTTCATACTTATGAAGATAACCTAAATATTTACTATTTATTCTTAAAACTCTTTTTATATGTCTGCAGTTATATATATATATATATATTTTATTCTATTCAGTGAGAATAATATTTTATTTATAAGCTAAAACTTTCTCGTTTCGTCTATTATTATCTGGTACAAAAAAAAATTCTGAACTCTTAGAAATTTCTTGCATTTGGTTTTTTTCATGATGTGCAAAAGGAGATATGATTTGTAATTTAAATAATTTAGATTTATAATTTAAAACATCATACAGCGCTCGAAGAAATTTTTTTTCTTATATTTTAAATAGCAATTGTTATTTGGTCTTTTATAGTAAACAAGTGCTAAATCTTTTAGGACAATTAATTGATTTAAAAATGAAGGCTTAATTGAAATTTTAGGTGTAAATAACAAAATCTAACATTGCTGATTAATTTTTAAAGTTTCTGATTTAAAATTGTTGATTAATTTTTTAAATACTAAATTTAAAAAAAAATGTGTTTGTCAATCAAAGCATAAAACCAATAAATTCAATTATAAATATTATACCAATAAATTCAATTAAACAGCATTAATATTTTTGGAAGAATTTCTCATTTTTTTCAAAACACCAAAGTCTTTAATTGTATTATCTTATCATCCTCTCATCGGTATTACGAAAATAAGAGCTAAGCTTTTTAATTTACATAGATTCACTATGATTGAGGTGTATTATTTGAGTTAGAATATTGTATGGTAAATATTTTATTTTGTTGAATAATTCTTGATATTAAAAAAAACATTTTAATTTCATCAATTGAATAAAGCGAGATATATAAAATGAAAAAATTTAATAAAAATTTTACTGAATTTAATTTTATTTTATTGTATTTAAACAGTATTTAAACAAAAGTATTATATAAAAAGTAATAGTATCGTACAAAAGTATTTAAATTGTATTCGATTTGATTATCTAATGATTTTATATATTAATCATAAGTAAGAATGCTAATAACATATATTTAATGATATATCTTTAATAAGAGGACATACTCGTCGTTGAAATAATAGTTAATTTATTGAAATAGACACATTATTCTTTTATAAAATAAAATAAAACAAAGCAAATCAAACTTTTAATATAGTACTTGAGACATTTCTTAAAAACTAAAAAGGCAAAAATCAACATAAGTAAACAAAATAATGAACAATTTAAAATATATCGGAAAAATCATTTTTTTACCATTTTCTTCATATTAAATTTTTATCTTACTTAGAATCATTTGGTGTCCATTTATTTTTGACTATTCTATACAGCTATATTTTCCGTCGTCCTTTATTGTTGTCTCCAACACGTAAACGATATAATTTAAAGCCTAAATTTGGCTTATTAGAACACCCTAATACGCAACAATCTGTCATTATTAATTTAAAAGTATGAAACAAAGTATAAAAAAGCGAAATTAGAAATAGAAGATCGGGTGTGATAATACTTCACAATTCAAACTAGTCACCAATATGACGACTGTTTACTCATGTGATCGGTGACAGCCAATCTAAATCGAAAGCGGCACAAGGGTTGAGGAGGAAAGAGTTACGCTATTTAAGAAAGGTAATCCAGGGTTTTAGGTAAAATAACTTAATGATTATAAATTTCTTGCTACCTTAATATTTACTGCAATTCAATGTAGAGATGTTGACATCAGCAAAACCCAATAAAGTAGAAATCAGTCAAAAATAATTTTATTGCATTTCATTTTAATTTTCTTAATTTTTTTTTATCACATAAGCAGAGAAAATCATATTGACTGGTTGTTCCAAACTTTTAGAAATTCAAAAGTAGACTTTTTCTTCAAAAATCAGGAAGTAACATCTATATATCCGTTATATTTTGTTGCAATCTATTTTCAAACCCTATCTCTCTTCTAAAAACAAATCACCCTTCGATTTTTTAGACAAAATTACTAATTATTTTTTTTTAGTTGGAAAGTACTAAGTAGAATTTACTGGGAATGTTCGAACATTTCCATTTGTTGTCGTCTTCAGAAAGCATTTAAAGCATAAAATCGGAACATATCAAGTTGAGAGAATTAGCTTACAGCTTGCGCAGAGAGATAAACCTAAGGTTCTGAAATGGAAGTTAACAAAGTAAAAATGCTTAATTAGTAAATTAAAAAAGGTAGAGAATGTATGATGAACAACATCGTACTCAGTAAAGCTGGGATGACAACTGCTTCACATTCTGCAAAGCATTTTATGGATGGTGTTTTCAGTAGAAATGTAAACAATAACAATCTCGAGCTGTATGTCAGCTTTAGTTCTGGTAAGAAAGTTTGCAGTTGCTTACTATATGTTATTCTGCGAGGCGATATTTTCAAACGGATAATTTATTTTTCAATAAAAGAAATAAATTAGATAATTTCTGAGCTCAAATCTGCCGTATTTCATAAGATATTAATGTTATTATGTAATTCTGGTGAGTTTGAAGTGAAAATTTGATTTAGTTATTTAGAGATATATTGTTAAAAAAGGTGACATGGTTGCTAGATTTTGAATAACTCGCTTTTTTGGTAGTCAAGATTTGGCCTCTTTCCATTTGTTTATTACTGTTTATTCGAGTTGTAAGCTGTGCACCATCTTATGTTAGTGTAAGCATATTGTTCGAGGAGCAAGATTAATTTATACATTATAATTCAGGTTTAAATTTGAAAGTTGGCACATATTATTGACACGTTGTGAGCCAAATTTCTTTGATATACACCGGAAACAGTAACCCGGAAGTATAAGCGGTATACAGCTTTCAGCGCTCCCTAGTGTAGAAAACACCATCCATAAAGCCGGAGGGAAACAAAAACTGAAAATTGCCAGCGCTTTAAAATTGTCAACTTGGGATAACTGGAGCTTACGGAGCTCTTGAATCGAAAGTAGACTCTGAATATCCTTTATATGTTGTAACATCCGTCGGCAACGATAATTATAGCAGTATAGCATTTTATAGAAAGAGTTTGTTGGAGAGAAGTAATAGACATGGTGACAGACATTTAACTTATATTTAATATCGTTAATCTACCTGGGGAAAAATTAGTTTTTATTCAAGTAGTGGCATGCTCCCTAGTCTAGAATCAGTCTGGGTGTGTTAATTAGAGCTAAGTATGGTTTATTATGAAATTTTTAATTACTTATATCCAGCGGCAGGCATAATAATTTCAAATCAAGTTTACGAAACCAAAAATCTTACATTAAAATGTACATTTTGTAACCACTAGAAAAATACACCCATAAAGCGAAGATTTGAGCTGTGCTGGCTCAGGGGATAGAGCGCTTGCCTCCCAATGAGGTATCGAATACCAGCGATAGCTGGTTTATTCGAATCCGCACTTGACTCTCACGGATCACAGGACTGACGTGAAATATCCTCAGTGGTAAACAGATTATAGGTTCGAGTTACTTTGTCATTAGAGTAGGTTTTCATGGTTTTCCTCACCTTGTATCGCAAATGTGGGTTATTTCCACCAAAACGTCCTTCACGATGCGGATTTCTCCCAATACTTGATCCAAAAGTTCCCTTGTTTTTTAGATTAGGTTCAAAATTACAAGGCTACGGAGTTCAGCATTGCTAGTCGTAAACTCAAAATTGGGTGGGCTATTCAACGATGGTTATTAAATAAAATAAAGCTAGGCAACTTAGCATATCCGATATAGCAATTATTTTTATTTTTATTCCTATTCATATAGGAATGAAATTCATAACGTGTAAACCATAAATTCAAAATTTTTTTAAACACAAATTTGTCTGCTATTTTTTCCAGTCAATGGTGGTAAAAGGAATGGATGAATGGCGTAAAGGGTGGAGACATTTATCCCAACTTATGGTCCTAGAAGGGAGAATTCCTGAAGAAGATCTACTTTTCTTTATGACAGTTGATGAAATCAAGCACTTACTTAGAACAAGATCGCCTAAAATTATTGCCAAGTATTAAATGTTTTCCATGAATATATTTAAAAAAATTTTTCCTTCTTCTTGTAGAAATTTTTTAAAAAGCTCATTTTAGAAATAATCAAAATTATTTCTAAAGTGAGCATTTCATTAAGTAATTACAGTTTTAGTATTGTATACATAAACGAGTAAGCATTAAGATTTTTGTAAAACGAAATATAATAATTTTTGTAATAATTAAAGTTGTGTTTGATAGCCTTAAAGTAAAAATAAAATGGCATTTTTTCCAATATCGATAATTAGTTGAAGTTTAAATAACTTTAATCTTAAAGCACAAAACAGCGTAAATAAAGCACAAATAAAAAATACATAAATTGACACACTATAAATTCTGTTGTATAAACAAGAACCTTCGTCAGAGCCTAAATGTCACTTCGACATTTGGACGCAAAATTTCGAAGTTTAGACATTGAGGAAGGCTCTTGTTCCAGGACCGAAACTATAATATGTCTATTCATGTACAGTGTGCAAGAAAATAATGGACCACCCACAATGGATGGAATGAATAACTTTTTAACTAACCATCGGATTTTCATGTTTTAAGACTCAATCTTATTGACTCTAAAGAGTGACAAGAGTAAAGAAGAAGTTCAAATATGCTAATTGAAGTCACGATATCTTAAATGCAGACGATATTTTAAATTACAAAATCAGACACAAAAATGAACTTTCTCTGAATAAACATGCCTTTTTTTTAAACGGATTACGATACTTGACCCCAAAAATATTGCCGCAATCTTCGAAATACAGTCCAAATAGTTGCTATAATGTATGGAAAAATACAAAATTTGAGGAAAATCGGTCGAATAGTTCTTGAAAACTCAAATTTTAAGAAAATCCTATACTTAAAATTCGGTTGATTCAATCGATTTTGCTCAAATTTTGTATTGAAAAACTACCTAAATTACCATAAAATACTGCATTGAAACTACTTTAAAAATGATATAAAAAATCGCTTACCTTACAATTCTAAATTTTTTCAACTATTATTTAAAAAAAAATAAGAAGAAGAAATAATAAATATTTACTAAAATTTACTTTTGCATGGAATTATCTTTTGCAAACAAATTTTATAATTGTTTGGAAAAATGCTTCAATTCGCTTAAAAAGTTCTCCAGTTATAGCGAAATACGCAAAAATTAAAATTAACATTACTTGGGAGGGCTTTCCTGAACAAATGGGACTATATTTCATTGATTGCAGCTACCCCCTATATTTTGGGCACCAGAAATCTGATTCCGTTGAAAAAAAGGTATGTTTATTCAGAGAAAGTACATTTTTGTGTCTGGTTTTGTAACTTAAAATATTGTCTGCACTTATTTTTAAGCATATTTGAGATCACCCCCAGGAATCATTAGGAGTGAGTCCTAAAACGTGAACATCCGATCATTAGATCAAAAGTAATTTAGAGTAGCCTGTTTTTTTTCCTTCTTGATGTACTTTACTTTAAAATGTGCTTTATTTACGTTTTCTTTTTCTTTCTTTTTTTTGTCTATCTAGCACTAAGTATATCCTATCCTTTTGAATTTTATTTTTGATCTATAAAGCATCATTTTTTTTTCACGTTTTCACTTATTTTAGAGCAACACAGAGGATGAAAAGATATCCAGTAATGAATGATTACAGATTTCCTGAAATAATGAAAGGATTTCCAAAGCCGGTAAGTAAAATGTTAAGGTTAAACCTTTTTACTTGAGATGGCTAATATTTCCGGTGACAGTTATTTTGCATCTGCTATGGATTCATGCCTGCTATGAAAATGGTATGTTACTTCTAAGAGATGCAGACAAAATAAGAAGAGAAAGTTGCAAAATTATTGTTTTCTCGTCTAAAAAAAGGGAATAAATAGATTTAAGGTAGTTGTTTCATGCTCAAAAAATAAATGTGTTTCGAATCTTTTTATAGTGTAACAACCTAGAGTAGGTAAGGCAATAAAACAGCATTTAATCACGTGATATCGAACTTGTTTTATACCTTAATGGTGTTCCACGGAACCTTGGACTCCGTGAAAGGGTCAAAGGAGTTCAGAAAGTTTAACTTTTTTGAATCAACAATTTTGGAAACTTGTAATTATATTTATATCAAAACAACAAAGCATAATTTTCTTTGCTAGTTTTTCTTAAGAAATTATTTAAGTAAAATACCATTTTATTACCAACTATTTCTCGTCGAACTTTTAAATTCAAAATAAAATGACCAAATTCAAGAAACACGAATTATATTTCTCTGATAACAATTCTCTATGTTTATAAAAGTTGTTTTTCAGAAAATCCTAATTCAACTTATTTTATTACTTTTCAGTAAATGTTTGTCCCAAAAACCTAGTCAGAACTAAACAAGATACCACTCTAGGTCTGCGAATTCAATGGTGACATAAAACATATTATTTTAAGAGCTTTTTACTGAAAAAATGATTGCTGCTAATAAACTCCATTGATACATTTGGAGCTCTCTGAAAAGAGGTCCCGTAGCCGTAAAAAATTGGGGACCGCTGTTCTATCTAATAAAAAACTCTGATGGTTAAGTGGTTTCTCTTGTTGATTTGACTTAATAAATAGTAATTGCTTGGTGAAGGGACTGCAGAAAGGGATTTTGCGTACCTTCTCAATTTATGTCATAAGTTTGCATATAGCATACATTGTATGCATATCGCATTCACTAGCACAATTCCATTGATTACGATGCAATTTATGCAACATATGTTACGTTACAATGGACGTCCAGTGACTGAGTGGTAGCGCTTCGCGCTCCCATGCCACAGGTCCTGGGTTCGATCCTCGGGCCGGGCAAGGTTGACTCAACCTTTCATCCCTTCAGTGGGTCGATAAATGAATACCAAGCTTGCTTGGGAACTGAACATTGGGGGTTTCGCGTTCGGCTGACCTCCTAACCGGAACATCNCCTTTCATCCCTTCAGTGGGTCGATAAATGAATACCAAGCTTGCTTGGGAACTGAACACTGGGGGTTTCGCGTTCGGCTGACCACCTAACCGGAACATGTGCTCCTGCACCCCAGAACCCAAAGTCAAGAAAACTGAGATGGGCACAGTAGGCCTTGGCCCTCTATGGACTGTCGTGCCACTCAGTTTAGTTTAGTTAAGTTTATGCTACGTTACAATACTAACTGCTACAATGACACTCAGAACTCACGCAGTTAAAAAATAAAAAAAGAAACAGCTATCAATTTTGCAGTAAAGAATCTACAATATTCTTTGCCGTTAACACTGGCTGTAAGTCCTGCTTTAATGTTTTTAAATTACTATAACTTGTTTTAAAATTTGTTATGTTTGCCACAACATTTGAAATAAAAGAAAACTTTTCACAGTTAACACCATGCATGGGAACGTTACTTTTAAAAAGTAGCGAGTGAAAAGTTTAGATTTTGAAACGTACAAGTAAAAATACAAATACAGATCGAAGAAAGTAACGATTCCTTAAGTATATTTCGAGAAAATTAAAAATTCAAAGTAGCTTTCAGTTTCATTAGAAAATTGTAAGAATTTTTTAAGTTTTAAATGCGTAAAATTTTAATTCAAGTGTATAAAATCCATGAAATTGTTACAAAATTCATTGAAATGATGAGCTTTGAAAGAATCCAGAAACCAAACCAGAAATCGAAATTTAATGTTTGCATATATAAAGGAGTTTCAATTTATGTTACAAGTAAGGAATGTAAAAGTTTTGCCACTGACATCATTTTAAATGTTTTTAGATGGACTTAACAGTTGCAGAAAACATTTCAAGTGTAGAAGACTTTTCAATGCAAGGTATTTATAAATAAATTTCTTTTAAATCAATCTATATGTTTAAGCTAAAGTTATTAAAAAAAATATTTTTTCCTTGCAGGTATACCCGTAAGTCAAGGTATCGCAAAAGGGTATGTTCGTAAAGCAATAACCATTGAAGACGCAGCGGACATAAAAGTAAGGGTATTACTAAATTATGCTTGTGTAACTATTATTTTTTAGAAATATTTCACATGTTGTAATTAATTTCTACTTCTTTCATTTAAACAATATCTAGCCTGGTGAAATATTAGTTACTCTTGGGACAGACATTGCCTGGTCACCATATTTTCCCTATCTAGCTGGAGTTGTCACTGAATTAGGAGGTCTCATATCACATGGTAAGAAAAAATATTTATTGAAATTTCAAAGGATTATCTCAAAGTTATTACAAAGTAAATCCTTACTCGTATTAACATAATTTACTCAAATCATTGTATTTACATAACTAGATCTTGATACATTGCATAAGTAAATTTTGATATGTTACCAAAGCAAACCCTGCTATGATATATTGCAAAAGTTGACCATGATATGTTACATAAATAGACTTCGTTGCGATACATAGGTTTATTTTTATAAATTACATAAGCAAACCTTGATTCGAAAAGTAAAAAATCAATTTAACATATTTTTTATTAATTATTATTTTACATATTAGTTTAATTATAATTAAATATATGTAACTTTCAGTTCAATGGATGATGGACAACATTCTCACAACATTTACGCAAATAATATTAATTTATTAATTACTAACGTAAACATTTCTTTTACAATTAATTCAAAAATTTGATTTATTTTTAACGGGTTCTTTATTAAAGGAAAAAACATTTCTTAAATAAAAGCCGGTAGTAATTCGAAATTACAGACCACTATGAACATATAGAGTAAAACAAATCAAGTTAATTTTGGTAATACAGACGGAAAAATTCAGACAAAAGTCATAAATTCTTAGCTAAGCCCAATTATAATTCTTATAAATTTATTTTTATGCCCTAATGTTTTCATTTAGAAAAAACTAAGGAATATAATATCAAAACTTTTCATTTATTTATAGACTTTAAAGCTGCTTACGACAGTATAAAGAGAGATAAACTACTGGAAGCAATGGCCGAATTTGGGATCCCTACTAAACTCATTAACTTAACCAGAGTTACTCTAAGTAATATAAGATGCAGGGTTAAAATTCAAAATCAATTATCGGAACCACTTTCAACAGAGAGAGGCCTGCGTCGAGGGGGTTCCCTCGCCTGTCTACTCTTTAATCTAGCTCTAGAGAAATGTATCAGAGATAGTGGATTAGACCGAAAAGGCACCCTTTGGAATAGATCAGTTCAATTACTGGCATATGCCGATGACATCCATCGATGCCATAGGAAGATCAGAGAGAGCTGTGAGACTGGCCTTTCTGGCTCTTGAAACTTCTGCTTCAAATATGGGTTATACCATCAATGAAGATAAAACTAAATTTATGGAATCTCCAGCCACAACTGTAAATCATGATCCTCTATTCATAACTGGTTACTCCTTTGAAAAGGTTAAGGAATTCAAATACCTTGGAACAATGATCAATGACCAAAACAGCATTAAAACAGAAGTAGAAAACAGAATTAAAATGGCAAACAAGTGCTTTTTTGGACTAGGAACACAAATTAAGATCAAGCCTAATCAGTCGAAAAATTAAAATTTATAAGACTCTTATTCTACCTGTATTGCTTTATGGCAGTGAAACATGGACACTAAACGCAAACACTCAGCGTACTCTTTGTATTTTTGAAAGGAAAATCCTTAATAGAAATACTTTTAGCCCAGTACAGGAAAGAGGCAGTTGGCGAATCAGATGCAACTTTGAATTATATAGGCTCGATGGACAGCCACAGATAGTGCAGGTCATCCCAAGCAATAGATTAAGGATATCTGGAGAGGTCCAGAAAATAATGCAGTCCGAATTGCCACCTTTAAAAATCCTTCGGGTTCTCGGGCTAGAGGAGGACCTCCAACTAGCTGGCTGGATGACACTGCTAAAGATCTAAAAGTATTAAAGATAAACAACTGGAAAAAAGTCACCACGGACGGAAGGCGTTGGAGGCTACGTGTGGTTGAGGTAGCCAAGGACAGTAAGGAGTTGACGTGCTGAAGAAGAAGAATGTTTTCATTAAATTAATATTGTATATATTGATTGATTGAACAAGAAACTATGACGAACATAAAATTTCAATTTAAACATTTATATTTGGATTAGAATAATAAAAAAAGTTTTTTTTTAACATTTAAAATGGTAATCAACAGTAAAAATCTTTAGCATCATTAATAAAAAAGCAGGCATGCCTATCTAATAATAATGGGGGGGAAAGAATCCAATTAAATTAAGGCAATCAGTTATTCTTGTATTCTACAGACGTTAAAAGTCTGGTGAATCATTGGGAATGTCCTGTTGCTGTCGTTGCTTAACATAGTTTTTCGAAGCTCTTTCACCAAGGAAAATTAAAAAAAGTTACAGTTTAAGGGGCTTACACTTGAAGCAAAACTATAATTTCGTATTATATATGCCATATTGCTGCTGAGGAACTATCTGGGCTTTAGAATGGACGAATAACTTGAATATTTTAAAAGTTACCTCCCCAAAGGAAGATGAGGGGTTGTATCATAAGTCGATAGCTTATAGGATGTATAGTCATAAATTAACACAGCAGAAGGCTAGATAGGGACCAAATTTATTTTGAATCGCTTCTTCTTTAATTTCAAGATTATTTTCGGGAGGTAACTGGAATGTTCAAGAAAACATCGTGGCAGAAGAATCCAGAAAGGTGGCAGCCCTCTCCGCTCTCTCTATCATTAAAACTGTTTCGAAATATTTATGAAAGTAATTACCTTATCTGAATTATTTAGACTGCATTAATGCTAGTCTAAATAAAACATGGAAAATTAAAATGTTAGGAAAGAAATTATGCTTCCTGATCATGCAGAAAAGGAAAGCCAATTTTAAGACTGCTCACATGCTTCAAGTTGGATCAGCAATCCAATATGATTCAGTCCGGATATTCGAATTCTGCAAGGTTTAACGGTTACAGTTAAAAAGTGCTAGGCGCAAGGCACCATCTGAAAAGTACTTTTAGAAATTTAGGTGATGTCGAAATGATTGAAAGCAGAGGGTATTGTAAGGGTACTTTTCCATGGGATTCTTGAACGGATCTTAAACATTTTCGCGACGCTGATTTCAAATCTGCAATCAGTTTCCGTTTAACAGCTACAGTTTTTATACAATTTAAAAATATATTCCCAACCAGGATTTGTCCCCTTGTGGACTGATCATTAACACGTGGTCCCCACTGAAGTCAAGTATCGCTAGCTGCGGTCAGTGTACGAGTGAGTGAGCGCTTTGATCAGCCTGGTAAGGGACCGATGGTGTGAGGTATTAGTCCTCGTTAAACTGTTATACTTCGCTAAACTGTTCTTAAAGTGCTCGACTTCGCGGACAGGTCCTCGGGAACAAAATTGCAATGGCATGTCTTCGGATCCTCCTTAGGGAAGCTTCCCAAATCGTCGCCAATTGCCCATTGTGCAGCTCTAGTGCGGCGTAACTATACTATTTGTACTATCTAACCAGGATTTTCAAAAATTTACTACATTGAATACTAAATGTCCCCACTTCTCAGCTGAGTAGGGAGTAGTAGTAAGAAGACGATTATACATTTCGGTTTATGATGCGATTCTTTAAGGTCAAATATATTTTGTCCTAAGTGTTTTTTCAAAAGAGCATGCAAATGTAAATGTGCGTATGCATCCCTGAACTTTCTTTATAATTGTGTACATTCAGACAAAAACTAAACTAAAATTATATGATTTTGAATGAAATATATAGCTTTCTGAACTTGATTTCATATTTGAAATCTCCACACCCGAATTAGGTCAGATAAAGTACGTATATAAATTCAACGAAAAATTTGTTCAACGTCGTTGTAAGGGATTTCCATAATACTTATCATGTTAAGTTCTCAATGTATTTAAATTAAAAATGTCAAGTAATAATAGTAATTTTTAATTAAAACTAGGTGCTGTTGTTAGTCGAGAGTATGGAATTCCTTGTATAGCTGGACTTCATGGAGCAACAAAATATTTTCAGACAGGTAGGTTAAATAATAAAAAGTTAATCAAAAATATAATGAGTTTGTGTCAAATAACAAATTTGGTGCGTGGCAAAATTAAAATTTGAAAAACAAACATTTTAAACTAAAATTTTGATAATTTTGAGAAAGTTGTCTATTTTTAAAGAAATGTAATTTTCTTCATAACTGATGCTAAGAACGGAGATCGAATTTTCATCCTGAAAAAGGAAGACAGTGCCTTTACAATGACGTGTAGTAGCTAGCATATAGAGATATTTCTATTTTATTTATTTGTTTGAATTAGCTACTAGTTTCCTTATCAATGGTATCGTTTTTCCTATAAATTTGTTCCTTAAATTTCCTTTATTAGTAGTAGATACAGATATGTGAATTCTCCTTGTAGCAGATAAGTTAGGAAGTATATTTGCTATCATATTATATACCTACTAACTTATAATTTTTCGGTGAGGATTTTTCTCTAGTCGTATTAAAATGAAAATAAATTTACAACTATGAGTTAAAACTTAATTTTAATTTTGCAGGATCTCAAACACCCCATCGTACGATTATCTTAGACACACATACATGTAGTGGTGGTCAAAATCTTTTTAAATTAAATGTTTAAATCCTAAAATTAAATAGAAAGCATAACTTTTACTATAAATTTATAAACATAACTTTTTAATATAGTTATATTTATAAAGAAAGCATAACTTTATAAATATAATATTTTGTCCAAAATGTGCAACAGTTAGCACTTTTGCTTATAGTTATAAAGAAGAACTGTGAAAAAAGTGAACATTACTAAACATGTTTAACTTAAAGAAAGTAGACTAAAATGGAATGAGTAAAATGGAATAAATAAATTTTACCACATCGAATTTAAGAGGGTCAACAAATTTTCAGGCATAATCCAAATTACCCATCGTCGAGTTTAAGAGATTCAACAAACTATCATAAATAATCCAAATTACCCATCATCGAGTTTAAGAGAGTCAAAAAAATTTCTTGTATAATTCAAATTACCCATCTTCGAATTTAAGAGAGTCAAAAATTTTCGTGTATTATCCAAATTACCCATCGTCAAATTTAAGAGAGCCAGCAGTATATATATTTGAACTAAGTAATTTCTTTGTAGGTGATTATGTACTTCTGGATGGAAATCGAGGTATATTACAGAAAATGGAACCGAAAAAGAATTCTGAGCTTGAAAAGGAATTTATATAATAATATTTTAAGAATGAAGAAGTGATAAACCATTATTAAGGAGGTGATAAACTATTTTTATGCTCAATTTTTTAAATGTATAAAAGACTTTTGTAAGAGTGTCAATATACATTTTATGTTCTATGCACAAATATTTTAATTCCAAATTATGTCAAATTATAATTTAAACTTAATAAAGACATTGAAAGATTTTATTCTTTGTTTGTACATTCATTTAAGTAAAATGATTTCATGGCTAGCTGTATAAATATGTATATGCTGAGTTGCAAACGAATCAAACAATCAAAACGATCTGCAATGTCTTTTTATACACTTCACCTTTATATCGCTATTTTGGATATCCGTTATTTGGTCAAGATACCAAGTCTTATAAGAGGGGGGGATTTTCTAGACCATGGGATCCCCGTACGATACAATATTTTACATAAAACCAACAATCACAAAAAAATGTGGTTACTAAATATAACATATATTTAATTGGATATATGAAATATATCCGTTGGATATATGAAAGTGAAGTGAATGAAAGTATTTAGTGTAGGAGAATCTAGACAAGTTTTTAATCTATGCTTATACTTGAAATCTATATTTAAGATCTAAACTTAAATTATGAAAAATTTCCATAATGAGGACAAATATAGAAGCAATAATACCACACAACAACAATATGAAAACTCCTAACAAGTCGCTCAACGAAAGTTTATGTTCTGATGATTTGGGCAGAGGTTTTTCAACTTCATAAAGCCAATTTCTAAACAACTGATCATTTACAATTTTTTGGAAAATGCCAGTACGCTTTATTCTTGTTATGCTGATGTCCAGCATATCTTTACAGCAAAATCCTCGCCTTACTGCAATGCCACAAGGAACAGAAAATCCAGATTCTTGTGGAACGTATTTGGTAGTGAAAGGTTCTTTGCCATACTTAAAATAAAATACAGACCTTGCCCCAAGAAACGCTGTTGATCCGTCAAACTTATTTTCGTTTAAATAATCCTCCATAGATACATACCAGTTATTGCTTTCTATCATTTGAGCAATGTAAATTAAGTTCTTTTTTCCACTCATCAGGAATGTAGGAATCGCGGTAGTTCCCCTTGTAACCATTATTTTATATTTTTCCTTGTAAATGGCTTCCTTCATTTCCTCGAAGCTTGTAATTGCCTTATCTCGGGTCGGCACAGTCAAAAAAGCAAGTAAAACATTTGTATAGCTCACTGATATCATAAACGCAGTCCATAGCCACAGAACTGTAAAGAAGTTTTTCCCCATAAACGATGGGCTGATATTTTGGTGACATATACTACCATAAATGCCGATAAATATTCTGAGAAAGTTGTATCTTCTCTTGGCTATGAAATAGAACACCAGTGGTACTATGATAATGCAACTGATAACACATGACCACGTAATATAATCAAACGGTTGCACAAAAGCTGATGTCCTACTTCGCATTCTTGGAGGGGCTGTAATAAATGTAATTTCATTAGCTGTGTATGGTTCAGTAAAATCAACAGCTGATTCACGTTCCTTATTGTAACTTAATAGTCCAATCGCTATGTCTGCTTCACTTCTGTTTACCATGCCAATTATTCCTGACCATTGTCCATTTATGAATCGACCCCATTCATTATCTGGAGTCTTGAGAACTGTGTATTGGAACCTAAGAGCTTGAGATAGAACATTTAACAGTCTCCCATCAACTCCTCCGGATATTTTTATTTCCTTTCCTGGAGTTTCTTTCACTTCCAAAAAATTTTTAAAAGTCAAAACTGCCACAACAATGTGATTTGGAAATTTATTTTTTGATGTCATGATAATCGCTAACACAAAAGCAGTTTGGAATTTAGGGATGATGTATTTAGTTACTGCAAGTGTGGCAGTAAGTTGCAAAAGTAAATGTTAGCACCACCACAACAATATGCGTTAGAGAGTAAAAGTCTAGATTGCCACTACAATGTGATTTAGAAATTTAGTTTTTGATGTCATGATAATCACTAAAACAAAGGCAGTTTCGGTTTTAGGGATGAGGTATTTAGTTACTGCGGGTGTGGCAGTAAGTTGCAAAATGAAAATGTCAGCTCCGCCACAACAATATGTGCTAGAAAGTCAATATCCGGATTACCACAATAATATGATTCAGAGACTTATGTTTCACTTTATAATAATTGTTCAAATACAGTTTTGGAGCAATAAATAAATGAGATAGTTATTGTGTGTGCGACAGCCAGTTGCAATTGGCATGAATAAAAAATCACATATCAAGACTGTCGTATCAATGGGGTTTGGAAATTCAGTTTTTGTGGTCATGGTAATTTTTAAAAAAAACATTCTAGGTGCTACATATGAAGTAGCAAGTCACTGCTGTATTTCTAATAAAATATTGCAGTTGCTATAAGTAAATGTCAGAATCAGCTAAACAATGCAATTTCAAAACTCGAGAATCTTCCATAATAACTGTTATAAGAAAGGCAGTTTAGGCGCTACAGATGAGATAGAAGTTATGGAAAAAGTTGCAGTAGCAGGAAATTAAATAGTTTACAAAACAAATTTAGCAAAAGAACTAAAACAGGACAGACAACACATATATTGAATAAAACATTTTCCCTTTAATTCTACAAGGAAAATTGACTTAATACATTCTACATTACAATGTTTCTTTCATTTTTTACAACATTATTCTTGTACAATGTTTTCCAAGAATATTTCTGAAATTATACATCAAATATTAAGTCATTGCAATTTTGTTTTGAAGTTTCACATCGACATTTTCCTATAAAATTAAATCTTTTAAAAATGTCATCATAATAAGAAAATTGATATAGATTTCTTAAAGAAGTTGCTGCTTTAAATATTCATTTTATGCTCTTATTAATTTTAACAATAAATGTTTCAGTCAAAAATAACATACATTGTATTGCATAAAAATATGTGTTACTTAAAGTTTAAATTATGTTAATTTAAATATTGGTTTTGTATTTAATATGTAATTAAAGTAAAATCTCTTTTAGTTACAAATCTTAAAATGCCTGAAGAAAAATTATCTAAAAAAAAGATTACCACACAAAATAATGTATATTACAAAAGCTGAACATATTACATTGAATTTGGAATTCTTGTATTTTAAACAGACTGTAATGTTTTTGTAAAAAAGTTCTTGTTTCAATTTAAAATTGCCCCCAAAAAATATAGGAGGATTTTGCATGAGAAGTACATTAAAACATGCGAAATTCTACTTTATTCGAAGTTTTATAGTAGGTAGTAATTTCCTTTTATGTACAGCACATATTCAAACTGTTTTGACAATACTAGATTTCGTATCAATTATTTTCTTTAGAATCGTCTTTAAACGTAAATTTTATTTGCTTTTGTCAACAACAGCTTTTAAATCTATTCAACCTGCGTGAGTATAGGTATTAAATAAATGCATAAGAGTCTGTCGAATTTATTGCAAATTATATTTATTTTGTAAATATTCTATCTGAATCAGTGATGAGTATTTTCAAACAGATAATTTACCGTCGCAACAAACAAACAATAGAAAAGCGTGACTGCCAGTTTTTTCAAATCGAAAATCTATAGAATAAAAACGCGACTTTCTCAAGGTTTAGATTGTATCGCGAGTCGTGAAAATATATTTGTATTTTTATACAATAAGATGATTAATGAAAATATAAATTTTGTTGTTGTTAAAATAGAATATTTTAAGAGAACTGCGCTTTCGGAAATAATACTCTCTCAGAAATGAAACTCAAACTTTTGATGATTTAGCAATCCTTGAGCTATGTTTCGTCAAGTTTGAAATTTATTTCGTCCCTAAATCACGCTATTTGTGACGAAATGGGAAATCTCAAATGTATGACAGAAATGTCCTAGATTTGAGAGTTCCCGTTAAATTTAGAAAATATATTTGTATTTTTACGCAATAAGAAGATTAATGAAACATAAAAATTTTGTTGTTGTTAAAATAGAATATTTTAAGAAAACTGCGCTTTCGGAAATAATACACTCTCAGAAATTAAACTCTAACTTTTGATGATTTAGCAATCCTGGAGCTATGTTTCATCAATTTTGTGAATTATTTCGTCATAAAATCATGTGATTTGTGATGAAATGAGATCTCTCAAATGTATGACGGAAATGTTTTCTCAACTCGAAACCTCATCGTAGTGCATTTCGGGAGATTGTTAGCTATAATGACGAAACTATGATGGAGACTAGACCATCAGAAATAAAAAGCCGAAAAAGTGGATCGTCCTGTATGGTGGTCAAACAGTTGACCCACTCAGGAATATCCCGGCTTCAAATCCCGCTTCGGGTATTGGTCTAATTTATCTCTCTGTTCTAATTGTTATTAGGGTGACATTTACCCAGTTATAAGGTGTCCACAATAAAGTGATTATTAGAAAAGTTAGACACATTGGACGATTCGAGATTCTATTTTTATTTTTTTGGGGAAGAAAATAGAAGGACGAAATATTTCGTTGCTATTGACAAAATTCGTTTTCTCGAAGAAATGACGATAATTTTTTCATCATTTTAACGAAATGTTTGTTTGGAGCATTTACCAACAAACGGTTTCGTAAAAAACGAAGAATATTTCGTGAATTTTGAGGATCAATTTCTTACAATGTATATTTTCGGAACTTTAGTTTTTGCTACGCAACATTTTATAGTGATGAAAAATATTTGTGCGAAAAATTTTCACGGCATTAATACTTAAACGAGTTTTTATAAGTTTTTAATAATAACTACACTCTAAAATTTCAAAATATCACAATTCAATAATTTTATATTAAAATATTAATAATTACATTAGGGCACACATTTTGAAGCATTTACAAGGGTGCTAACTTGCTACCCTTTATAGGAAAATTTCTTCTTGTGGTTCTCTGCTACTCCCTACGTAGCAGAGAAATGAGGGCACTTTATATTCGCTCGATTGAGTTTTAAAAATTTCTGCTTAGGAATATATTATTAAATTTCCTAAGAAACTATAGCTTGAAAATTTACATTAGAATGGTTTTATAATTATAGGTTACTTAAAATAGAAAAAAAGCTTTTAACTTCTTGCGCTCATATGATCGATATAAACTTTGCTTGAGAGAAACATATTCCCATTTCTAAAAGCTTTAAACATGACTTTCAATTTGTTCATACGATCATTCAATTTGTGCATATGATCTTTCAATTTCCATGTAAAATCTTCCAAAACTTTCTTTGCTCCTAAAATAAAGATTGTTTAGATTTAGTAAGGAAATGTTTCCACAATTTTGTTTAACTCCTGATTATATGTCGTAGTGGCTTAGGAGATAGAGCGCTTGCCTCTCAATGAGTTGAACCGGGTTCGAATCCCAGCGATTACTGATTGAAACGAATTCTGTAACCTACTGGCACCAGTGCAGACATAAAATATCCTCAATGGTAGACGTTAGACTCCCTTTGCCGTCAGGCTAACTATAGGGAGGGTTTCGTGGTTTTCTACTGCATGTAAAGCAAATGCGGGTTAGTTCCATCAATAAAGTTTAGTTAAAATTGCAAAGCTACGGAGTTGAATATTGGTAGACGTAAACTCAAAAATTGGATCGGTTCAACGAAGGTTCTAAGATCCGGTGTCAATGATATTTTCCACGTTTTTTTTNGCTTAAGATTTTCAAGATGATTCAAAATAAATTGGGCAATTAAAAATAAGATTTAAAAAAAATCTAAATATAACTTCCAAATTACTCGTTTTAATATTTTTTAATCGGACAACAATTTTAAAAACTAGAACCATTGTAGAAAATACAAATGACAAATTGTAATTTTCCTTCTTTAATAATATGAATAATTTTTCGCAACAGCAACTTCAGATGAATTAAATACAATTTCCTTCTTATCCGCGCACTGAGTCAAGGGCAGATTAGAGTCTCTCCATTGTATCGCTCAAACAAGCATTTGCAGCAATATATGTCAGAATTATGACGGCGAATTCACATTTACAAATGTTATGAAAATTATTCTGTGAAAGTATGACTACACGAAATAATGAGACAACTTTATTCGATATTTATTATGCCTTTGTGTTATTTCAGCTGTGTGAAAAATTCTTATTTCATAAAGTACTGTTCTGAAGCGCCGTTGGTTTGAGTGTGATAAAGTCAATTCTAAAAACTCCGGCTCTTGTCATCGTAATTTATAAATATCTTCTATCAATCTAACTTTGTTAAAAATGATGATAAGCAGTTACCAGAAAAGAAAAAAAACAGATTTAGAAGAATTTATCTGATCTAGAGTTGAGCAGAGTTATTTTTCTTCCAACGCTTTTAGTTCAGCTGTAGTTCATTTATCTGGAAGAAATGTTTGTTTACGTATCTTGACCGGGAATCTATTAAAGAAACTATTTAAAATGGATATAATTTGGATTCTTCTTGTAATTATAGTTACCGCATTAGTATTTTTAAAGAATACAGGTAATGTATGAATTTATATAGAATATATTGAATTCTTGTTTTTAAGATATTATGAATTATTCTATTTGAAGAGAAAGGGCAATAAATTTTTTTTGCATTTATGACAGTGGGCGTGTAGGTGTATGCTTGCCCGGTTTTGGAGAAGTATTGTAGCGAATTGGCGGAGACAAAAGCCGCCAATATAATATTAGAACTTGTACATTAAATATTAAAAAAATAATAAATAAATATTATAAAGTATTTTTTGCGTGAAATTTTCTTTGAGTAAATAAGATTTTTTACTGGGTGCAATTTATTTAAACTCCTTGACGCATAATTTTCATTATATATATTTCATACTTTTTTCATAATTTAATATTAGTTTAGGTTAAAATAAGTGAAAAATATTATATTTAGAATTTTAATAATTTATGGTTGTGTGAAATACAGCAAGACACACTGGTGCCTTTTTCTCCATTAAAAGTAAAGCTTTCCGCACACGGCTTACTTCCAAACAATAATTTTTCAAAATTGCACTTATTTAGGTCTGAGGGAAACAGTAATCCATCGATAAAATTTCTTAAATTTACAAAATGGATTATTGATATATCATTGAATATGAATGAAAAAATAATCGTTCAAAAAAAATTTTTTTTTGGATTTTATATCGTCGTACAAATATAGTTCTTATAATTTAAGAAAATTCTTTTAGTAACTATAGACTGTTTTTATAATTAAAAAAAGCAAAATATATTTTTGCTTGTAGCTAGAGCTTCAGAAAAAAATATATAAAAGGGTCACCGGTGTCCTATCTGCATCAAAAGGTTAAAAAGTCATATGTTTACAAAATTCCAAATCGAAATTTTAATTTTTTTATAAATAGAATTGTTACGGAATTGGTTCTAATGTGAAAAAAAATATTCTCTGCTTTTTTTTTCTTATATTATTTACCATATATATTCTTAGTTTTTTTTATTCCAATGAAATATTCTTAATTTTTTCGAAAATTAAAGAAGAAAACACATTTTAATTTAATGACCTAAAACTTTGAAATTAAATTAGTTCACATATCATATGTTATTCTTTGGAAAACACACTAAAGTGCCATAGACAATGCTAGGCACTGTGTATAATTTATGAACACAAAAGGCAACTGTGGTAACAGCATATATAACTAGAACTGTAATTGCAGTTAATCACTTCTAAGTAGTTAAAACGACCATAATAACAACAGTGGTTACCACAATGTCCTTACGTAGCGCATAAACGTGTATTATGTATAATGTATAAAATTGTATATTATGCACAATGTGAAAAAATTGTATATAATGCACAATTAGAAAGTAATACACAATTAGCATAGTGTTGTCATTCCCTTATTCAATGGTACTTGAGCTAAATAACAAAATGTTATTTTCATCATGGCAAATTCAATTCCATACTTAAAATTATAAAAAACCATTTTAAAATCCCAGTGTTCTTTATCTACGATTGGCGGTTCTTTTTGGCTGTTGTGGCCCGTCAGTCCCTCCCTCACTCTCCCCCTGATGTATGCAAACTAATTTTTTTAAAACAAAATATTAACTCAATCATCAAGAAAAAACAATGATTTTAGCAAAATCTCAAAAATCAGGAATGTGCAATAATTACTACCTAAGTATCACAAATCAGAAATTTGCAATCACTATTTTCTATTTTATCTTAATTTACTTTCATTCATTACGACTAACATCAAACTATTGACTCATAGAAAGACGTTTACTTGCTTGATAAAAATATTTTTTTTCTCCTTTCAATTTGTTACTCTCTGTATTTAATTGAAATCATCTTTCCTGACTAAATCACTTATCTAATGTTTCGTCTCTCGTTGATTACATTTAATTTTGTCTGAACATTTATTCATAAAATCTTCAACATTTTAAATTGCATCCATAAATCTAAATTTGTAGTGACAATTTAATGTGGATTTAGGTTTTTCTACGAATACTATGTTCCTTAGTTACAGCTTCTCAATGCCATTGCATAGTTTTAAAAAAATGATAAGAGATAAAATTATCTCTACGCATTTTTCCTTTATCATCTCTTATTATTTATCTCCTTATTGTCTCTTATTATTATTTTTCTTTTTATTATAACCTGGAAGGAGCGGTAGGGGGGACAGTTTACTTTTTATGATGTTAATGTTTTTTTTGTTTTTTTTGTATATACCTGGGCTAAAAACGGTGGATTTAATTAATTACGATAATTCTTGAGTAATTAAGTTGGTGCTAAGTTACTAGCAAGTTCAGACGATAATACAAACTATGACATTCAGATACAAAAAAAGCATTTAAATAAATGCATTGCTTTCTGCTTTTTCATTTTTTGTAGATTTTAATCAAAATGTAACTATTAATATAGCAAACAAAATTATAGCAAAATGTAACTATCCATGTAACTGTAGTTTAAACCTTGTCCAAAAAGCTGAATGAAAGCATTATTATCAGTAGTCTACAAATTATATGTCGCCACGGCACTTAAAATATTATAGCTAACTTTCAAAATTATAGCAAAATGTAAAATTTTTTTATGAAGACCTAAAATTCTAAGCATTATTAGGAGAAAAAAAAGATATTTCTGAATAACACGTCCGAGCCACAATAGCTCAAGGGATAGAGTGTTCACCTCTCAATGAGTTAACCTGGATTCGTATCCCAGAGGTGGTCGATTATACGAATTCAACTCCAGCTCCTACCAGCCGCAGTTTTGACGTGAAATATCATGAGTGGTAGACGAATCATGGGTTACAATCCCCTAGTTATCGAACTAATCATGGAGGGTCTTTGTGTTCTCTCTATATAAAGCAAATGCTGGTTAGTTCCATCAAAAATCCTCCACAAAGGCTAGTTTGTCCCTATGCTTAATCCAATAGTTCTCTTGTCTTCTGGGCTGGGTTCAAAATTAATAATACACACTAGAATACACACTCGAATCACAGGAATGCCAACTGCTCCACTTTCAGTAAAATTTTTTAAAAAATTTGTAGTGAATTGAGCAGTAAAACTTGTAGAATAGGGTGATCACGTTTAGAAAGAAATATTTTCTAAGAAAGAAAGAAATTAGAAAGAAAGAAATATAATAAAGTTGTATTTCATATGATAGTGTGAATTTTCGATATTTAGTAGTGGAAAAATTACTTAAAATGAAAAATACTTAACCAAAAATGACTTAAATTTCGTTATCATTAAATAATCTTTTTTTTACCAAGTGGAGCAAGCACATCTCTGGACTTCATGCTGGTATGCTATGCAATTTTTGCTCGCATTAGTATTTATACATTATAAGTTGTATGGCATATTTCAAACCCCTTTATTTATTTATAAGAAGTATTAAATAGAAAATAATTACTGCACTATGATGTTTCAAGTAAGCAAAAAACTTATTCTGCTTTCCATTTAATGGCTCACAAAACATAGAGCTGGAGTAAAAAAGATTGGAATTTTTGTAATCCTCCAATGATTAATGTTACTATACATCGGGGTATACAAGATCCCCAGGTGTCATGAACTTATATTTACGATGATGTTACAAATAAATTTACTGCAATACACTGAAGAAACGTAATTAAGTTTACAAAAAAAACGAAGAAAAAAAACCGTTAACCTTTATAGTTTTGTTTTAAATGAAAATGCTTCTTTTGAAATCAAAAAAGCCTTAGTATGAAAACGATTGTTAAAGAGTGCAAAAATTTAACAATTCTCATATGAAGTTGAATAATCTATTTTTAAGTTCATTGTCTGGATTAAGAAAGTTTTGTGACCTTAAAGCTGACTAAGTTGTTTTATCAATTTCCGAAAAGAGAAATGCTTGGAGGTTACATATCCGTCATTACAATGCATCCGGAGTTTAACATTCCTTATTTTTTAGTTATCCGCTTTTTGTTGAACATGTTGTTCCTTTCGCTTATGTTATGATCAGTTTCTTCAGATTGCGTTTTATAAAATGTTTGTCAAGTGAGTTTAAACAAGTTACGTCCTCTTTTATTTTTCATTGTAGAGATATTTCGCGTTTCCTGAGAATGTAAACAAGAAATAAACAACAAATTTTGTAAGCAAAGCACTGCAATAAATTTGCAAATTTTTTCAGTATAATTCAGATATAATCTTATCTTGAGTTAGGAATTTCTCTTGCTTCTTAATGATACTCAATAATTAAAATATTCAATTTTGGGGTATCTTTAAGATAATTTTTAAATATTAAAGTAATTTTCAATTTAAGTTTAATACTTTACTTTTTTATTGCAATGTTTATTGGATTAATTAAAGAAAAGCTTTATACTCAATTCTTAGAGATAGAATTCTTACTCATCATTACTTTGCAAATGAAACGATGCGTGTTCGAAAGTTTGTACCACTTAAGCTTTATTTTACTTTTTCTGCATTTAGCTATATCTTGAAAACTTTTCGAACAAATTGAATCATTTCACGCATAACTATAAAATGCATTTGTCCAAAGATGATTCCAAGCAAACATTACTTATTTAATATTATTTTGTTTAATAGTAGTATAAAAAATTTTAAATTGTATTGTATACAAAATTTTGTATCGTTCTAAAGTATATAATTTTATGACGTGAAATACAAACTTTGAAGAAAATCAATCGTGTAGTCCCTTAAAAATCGAATTTTTAAAAAAAATTAAGAAGTTTTAAAAGAATTACAAATTTAGATTTTTTTTTTTTATTTTGCTCTAAACTTTCTCTAGACTTAGCGAAATATGCAAAAAAGTAAAATTAACACTAATGGGTTCGAACTTTTGTTTGCTCTCCTAACCAAACTATTGAAGGCAAATGTCCTAAATTACGAATGATTTCTATATTTTGAGGATCAGAAAACCAAATCAGTTGAATTAAAAAATATGTTTAATCAGAGAAGAAGGTACAATTTTGTGTCTGATTACGTAGCTTAAAATGTGGTCTGTACTTATTAATTAGCATATTTGACGCCAACCACGTGAACCATTAAAACTGAATCTTAGTACTCGAAGATGCAAACATTAGATCATAAGTTATTTACTATGTTGCATTTTTTCGCACTACATTAAACTCTGTAAAGAAGAGGAGGTGTTTAATTTTAAACTAAATAAACCCAATTTTCATGTTATATAAAATTAAAAGCGAAAGAGTTTGATTTCTGCTGAAGATGTTTTCTTTTTCAATGTTATTTATATATTCTTTGTAATATAATTATAATTGCAATACATTTTAATTTTATTCCAATTTTGCAGCAATTATGAATTTAATTTACAAGATAAAAATTCATAACTAAAATATACAGAACTAAGAAGTGTAAATGCTAATTTTCATATGAAAAGGCACGCTCACAAACTATGAAAAAATTCAAACTAGAATAATGTAAGATGCCCCTCTGGTACCATCCTTCAAGGCTAATAAAATACTAATATATATTTTATTAACACCCTTACTAATATACTTTAAAAACTATATATATATATATATATATAAATATATAGTTTTTGCGGTTGTAATTTATTGCTGAATGAGTTTTTAAAATGAGTATAATATTTAGAATAAATATTAAGAGAATGAATTATATTATTTTTTTATATACTGTTTAATACTTTTTATAAGAGGCCGGGATAGCTTGGTCGGTAGGGTAGGTCGGTATATTATTTTNGATTATGTTTATTGGCAGAAATGGATTATTTCTTACATATGCGTTAAACTGTATAAAATCAAGTCTAAAAAAAGGTTTGATTTGTATGACTATTCAAAAACCAATGATCCAGTCAGAGCAAATTTTATTGTCCCACAAGAAGAATATGACATAGAAGCTCCACAACCAGCTTCAGTTTTAATAAATGTAGGTAAAAATTTCTTATTTTCTTCTGTTTTTTATTATAAGTAACTATCCTGTGCTGGTACAAATGTCATGTTAACGCATTCATATAAGCATGCATAATGAGTGGATTCAGCAGATTTATTTATTTATTTATGAATCCATTATGCCTGGTAGTTCTTTCTTATCGATTCAACAACACTTTGTTGCAGACGAAACTATCTTGTTTCTGCAAAGTTGACCACATTGCCACCTACATGTTGGACGACGCACGATATTGACCTCATTTGCCACAACTATGAAAACTGCTCTAAAATTGCAGACCCTTAACCTCCTTCAACAGATTTATTTATGAATCCATTATGCCTGGCAGTTCTTTCTTATCGATTCAAGAACACATTGTTGCAGACGAAACTATCTTGTTTCTGCAAAGTTGACCACATTGCCAACTACATGTTGGACGACGCACGATATTGACATCATTTGCCACAACTATGAAGACTGCTCTAAAATTGCAGACCCTTAACCTCCTTCGCAGCATGAAAAATTAGTATTTACGCAAAAATTACGACAAAAATAGTTTTTATGTTAACAAATAACATAAAGAAAGACGAATGGGTGAATAAAATAATACGAACATTTTTATTCTAACTACTTATAAACAATCTTTCTTTCAGCAATAAATGTTTTAGAAAGTTTTACAACGCAAAACTGTTGGCGTAATTTGAATAATCATTTCTTTATGCTTTTTTGATAATGCTTTTTTGATAATGCTTTTTTGAGTAGGTGTCATTTTTACCCATGCAAGATTCGGAAAGAACAAAACAAGGAGAAAAAGTGTATAACCTTTTTATGGCTTTAATACCCAAATTTTGAAATCATGCTACAGAATTGCAGTTTTTATATCAGAATTCCTTCAGAATTAGAGTGATAAAAGGAGAGAAGCTTTAACCCCTTCCTTCTCACCCGTGAAAATGATGGGGTGAGGTTTCTATTTTCTGCTCCCGTGATATTTCTGGGCTGGAGTGTTCAGTAGTAAAGCGCCAATAAGAATAAAACTAATTCATTTCTTATGCCGGAAAAACATTTTATTTCTCATTTTGCACACCAGATGGCAGTACCATGATATTTTTAAGGTAATTATAGATAGTTAACTTATTTTAAAATAGATGACAGCACTAATCAAATACGTGTATTTGTGATATGTGATATAAAAAATATTCACTTTTATGACCGTTTTCTCGAAAATTAACCGATTATTAAGGGGTTAAACTTCCTCAGGGCTAAAACTTCCTACGCTTGTTATAATTTATGTAAATTTTGCATAGGTAAAAGTAACAACCTTTTCAAAAGCTTCAAGCGTGATCTTAATAATTGTCGTAGTAACAGTTTTGCTGTGTAAAATCTTCCAAAATAATTACTTTCAATACTTAGAGTTAATATAAAAGTGATTTTGTTCTGTATTCACCCATCTGTATTTTTGGTTTATTATCTTTATATTCTTCTATACTTTATGTCTCATTGTAATTGCTACCTGATAGCCTCAAAATCTGGATAAAAATTTGATGTATCTATGCCATTGACTGTAAATATTTTAAAGTCAAATGATCATATAGAAAACAATAATTACATAACACAGCTAAATGATAATAAAACAAACAAATTGATTCGAAACATTTTTTTCTTCTTTCACACTGTAAATCCGTTAGAAAAAATCCTCTAATTTTTTTTTCATCCTTACAAAATAATCAATATAATTTAAAATTAATAACTATTACTATTTTGAAAAAAAGTAATTTATTGAACCATATGCAATTCATTGTAAATTAAGATCCTTAACCTAAAAGATCAAGAACTTTCTAAAACCCAATGTGCCATTAAGTCATGGTTATTTTTAATCAAGGCTAATTCAAACTGTAAATTAACCTTTATTTACAATCATCCTTTAGAGTGGTTTCTCCTCTTTCTACGTCATGATTGTCATCATTCAAGGTCTGCTTAGATAATATATTTATCGTTTTTTTTTCTCCTTATTTTTTAATGAAGCTTTTATGCTGGACGTAAACGGCGCAGAGCATTTCGTAAAGACCAATCACTGGACGGATAAAAAGGTCTTCCTTTTTTAACGCTTTTAGCTCTTTTGTCAAAGTTCAATAAAAGTACATCCGTTGTAATTTTATTTATTTTTCCAGTTTTATTTATATATTTACTTCTTTTGCTTGTCTTTCATGAATTAAAAAAAATTAAACGAGACAAAAAAACTATCTGAATTTTTGGGGATGAAAGATGGAGAAAATTAAGAAGCACAAGCTCTATATAAACGTGATGCGAAATGAATAGCTTAATGACTCAGCCCATTTAATAAATACATTTATTTACATTTACTTACAATTTATACGTATTGCGTTTTAGTTAAGTTTTGAATCAACTAATATAAAACTAATTTACTTCCCTTAATCTCAGTTCAGAATAAATGCTTCAAAATTATTAATTCTCTAAATATTAATAATTCAAGTGTAACTACTACCAATATATATACAAGAATTAACCTATTACCATTTCGCCATAATGTATTTTTTCGTATTTTACTCTATTTACACAACAATAAATTAATATGCAAATTAAAAACTAATGTGTCTGAAAGGAGACCAACTGAAATGTATGAGATTCCCTTCTTTACAAAAGAAATTTCACGAAAACAGTTTTTTTACTTAGCACCTAAATTATATAATAAATTACCATTTCAGTTGCAAAACATCAAAATATATTCTTCTTTTAAGCGTGCTTTATTTCAATTTGTGATGAACATTGACGATTTAGATCTCTATTTTTCACTTTAAAGGAAGCATTTGATTTTTTATACCAGTCTTGTGCCAATCCAAATGAATTTATGTTACCTTTGTTATTTATTTTTTATTTATTTATTTATTTTATTATTATTTTTTTTATATATAGTTTCATGCATTTTTTTGTTTTTTTGTTTTCTATTATTACAATGTTCAACAATATATGACGTCTTATGATGAGCAAAATAATTTATGATTGTAATACCCCCTTTTTTTTTCTT